TCATGAAATTTTAAGAGAAAATGCGCCATTATTATTGCAAACTTGTGAATGCACAGCACGCTCATTATTAGCTCTTCATCTGAAATGAGTGAACCTGCAACTAAAAATAGCAGATAAATAAATGAGCCTTTGAGAGCCTGGTGATTTTTATTCTTTTCTCCCTCAAAAAGTGACTCTCTCCGGGGGGAGATTATATTCATAAAGCTTCAGAATCATTAAATTCTCAAGCACATATTCTTCCTTCAAGCATTTCTCTTTTTCTAATGGTTGGTCTAAATCATTAAACCAAAAGCATTTCAGAAGTTAAAATTGCTTAACATGCAATGCTAAGCAGTTAATTGAAGCCTGCATTTTTATTCTCTTTGCTTATTTGGCTCTTTAAGGGATCTGGGCAAGGGAGAGGAGGGTGGGGTGAATAGAGGAAGGAGGGGGAGAATTACTGGATGTTCATCATAGAAGGGACCTTCTGACGACTTAACTAAATTGTTCACAAATGGCAAAGTGAGGCTAGGAGCTACTGGGCAACTTGACAACATAGAAAGTAGGATCGGGACTGGAACTCAAACCTCTCAACCACCAAGACCAAGGCCCTGAGGGAAAGATGGATAAATGCATAGACATGGATTTGGTAGAACCCAAGAATGAGAAGTCATGTAATTTTACCATCTTGCCCTGGAGCACTGCCTAATGGGGGCTTTGGGGCCAGAGATCCTGCCTCAAATTCTGGTTCTCCACTGACTAGACAAACCACTGACCACGCCTCTGAGCCTGGGCATACAGAATAACTGTCTGTATGATAGCTAGTGGTTATTGAGCCCTCGCCATGTGCTAAGCATTGTTTTAAGCACATTTAATGTATATACTAGCCCTTAAATTCTACCCTATAAGCTAGAGGTTTAATTCAGATCATGGAAATTAGAGCCTTCGCCTAGAGTGTTCTCAATAAATTATTTGGTCAATAATTAAAGAATATAAGTATTAAATTAATAATCTCTAAATAGTAACAAAATACATGTGAAAAATGTATTTTATTTTAATTATTAATATAATTGGATGCACTATTTTTAAAATTATGATGAATAAAATTTTAATTTCAAGGTTACATAGTGAATGAATACACTCACCAAACCAAGGAGCTCTCTTCAAAATATTTCTTAAGCATCGAAAGCCTCAGTTTCATTTTAAATTTCATTTTCTCACTCTGCCATGTCTGCTTCCTTTAAAGCAAAGACGCAGCTTAGAGAACACACTCAGTACCCAGGGGTATGGAACTGCCCAGTGGGAAGTCTTTCTAGCATTTTCCACTGAGCAAGCAGCTCCATAAAGCTGTCGCTTTTTCCCTTACTCCTAGGCTAGGGCAGAACATGGTCTTGGTATATTTTTAGTTATTATTTATTTTTAAAACGTAAAGGACCCAACAGATTAAACTTGCTGTGCTCATTTCCCTGTGTTAGAGGAGTTAAATGCAGGAGAAACCCAACAGGTAGCCAGCAAGTCTCTCAGTCACGTCTTGAGACAGCCTCTTTCACAGCTTTGGGAATCTCGCAGCATGAAATGTCAGGCTGCTGCTTTTTAGCGCCTCCATCTCTGCCTCTGTTTCACATGGAAAATATGTCAACCCAGCCCACCTTTTTTTGAGGGACCCAAGTGCATTGTGTCCAAACTCTGTTCCACTCGTAAGGCTGATCTAGGACAAGAATAATTCGTACGCTCTTGTAAGTGACAGTTGCTTTCTTCTGTTGACATATTTTGTTGCAACCATGACACATACTATGGTGCCCTGAATTTATTAGAATATTGAAGGGGTCCAGAGTTCAATTTTTGAGGCGTGAGCTAAGAAGTGATTGTCATCAGAGGACTTATTAAACTGCATTATAAAGTAATTAATGGCTATGTTCATTGGATGCCTTCATTTTAAATTTCTAACTTTCTTATGATGCAGGAAGTGAAGGGTTTGTTTTATTGGTGGGTGTTCCAAATTCTAAAGCTCAAAGAAAGGTGAAGAGCGGAAGCTAGTAACATATGTTTGGCTTAATGTTTACTCAAGTAGATATAAAAGCATGCTTTCTTTGAGAAATTAAAACATTGATAACACTGGCCAAGTGGATTAATTCAGTTACGATAATTTACATCACAGGAAGTTTCTTCTTAAGGAAAAATGTCACATCAGCATTTCGTTAATGAAAACTAAGTTTAAAACAGAAGTCCATAAGAAAATGTAGTTATATTTACAAATACTTGATGCACATAACTTTTCAGAAACACATCCCAAATTTGACCCCTGTGCACAGGTTATGGAAGGCAGCCCTGTTAACTGGTTTCACTCACATGCCTTGGTGTCTTCCAAAACAAACCCAAAGTCAGGCTCTGAGACACCTGGGCAGAGACGAATCTCTCCAAGCCTCAAGGTCTTCATCTTCAAAATGACCATTTCTGTGAAGAGTCTGATCTTTAAACTAATTCCTACCCTATAGCATTGCCACAAGGGTTAAATTTAAAAGTCAAAAAATACTATATGAACATTTTAATTTTAGCACGTTTCCCAGCACATTCTAAGCACGCAAAAAAAATAGTAGGTGTAACTATTAATACTACAAAACATGGAGCTAAAATTACACCTTAGATGAGAATACTTGCTAAAGAAAATTTGTCTTCACATATCTGAAATGCTTTCCATCCACTAATTTCAGGTGAAGGCATCCAATTTTCTATTTTCTTTTGTAGTTCCTTTCAAATAGTAACAATGAAAACCATGTATTGAGAGGATAACTTGCCATCTGTGTGACTTATCATCTCACTGAATACCCCAGTGATCCCATCAGTGGGTATTACTATCTCCATTGCCAGGTGTGGAAACTGAAACAGAATTCACCTGAGCTGCCCAAGTTCATCCTACTACTAATGACCAAGTTAGGTTTTCAACCCAGTTAGACCACCAATGCCCAAGCTCTTAAACTCTCTTCTGTGCTGGAAATAAAAGGGACTGATGGTGGGGAGGTGGACTGAAAGCCTGTTTCTACTTTAAATAAAGTTAATCTAGGTCAATGGTTCTCAATTTTTTTGAGATCAGAATTCCTTTGCACTCTAAAAAAGGTATTGGGGACCTCTTGAAGCTTTTGTTTATAAGGGCGCATTTATTGATATTTCTATATTGTATATTATATAAGAAAGCTAAGAATTTGTTTATGTTTGTTTATTCACTTAATTTTAACTAACAATAACAATTTAAAATGCCAATAATTTATTACTTAAAAATAACTTAGTAAGACATAAGCACATTACATGTTAACATATATATTTTTATATAAAAATACTTATGCTTTCCAAACTAAAACATTTTGGTGAGAAGTGTGACTTCATTTTACTTACTTAGCAAATCTCCTTAATGCCTAACTTAATAGAAGACCGCTGGACTCTCCAATTTGCATCTGCATTCTTTCGGTTGCACTAACTCCACTGACTACTAGAGACCCCGAGAGTGAAAAGGGCAAATAATATATTACTATAAAAATAGTTGGATCACTAGAACTCTGAAAGATCTCAGGGACCCCCTAGGATTCTCAGCCCACACTTTAAGAACCATAATTTAGGTAAAATCTGTAAGAGAACTGAGAAGTTCTATAGCCAACTTTACTCTGCAGTAATAACCCAAGTTCATTACTCAACTAACTGCCTGCTCATCCTCAAAGTGTCTCTTTGTGCTGTTCTGGAAAAGAATGAAGAAAATTTGTCATCTCTAGGTAATAATAAACATTGAGTGGGAAATGTTTTAAAAGTAATAGTATCACCTGGCTAAAACATAAAATGTTATAGAAAAAAAAATGTGTCAGAAATATATTTAGTGAACTCTTCAGAGACAAAAATTACTGTGTTTTTATCTTTACAGAATAAAAGAAGACAATCTTTTGTTGTACAGAGGAAATGTAATTGAAGTGTCATTCTATTTTGGAGGCATTAACCAAACTGATTAAATCTGTTATATTGCTTAAGTGAAGGTACTAGTCAAATGTTAGCACCTGTGTTCCCTAATCAAGTAAAGGGTACCAGGAAAGCACTGGAAATCTTATATAAGATGAGGACAATCCTATAAAATACTTGGGTAGTGTTAAGGTACATTAGACATTGAATCATTTGGTTGTTTATGAGATTGCATCTTCAAAATGTTTTGGCTAAGAAATACGATTTTTCTTCCATGCCTTAATCCAAGCCCAGAAACAAGGCATTTGTATATCATAGTTGGTTTTGTTAAATCATGTATTCAAATTTGCATTGCTTTACCATACCATACCAACACGAAAAAATGACTGCTGTCTACATTGATAACTACAATATTGCCACGGGGATATGAAGAACAGTTTGGGGAATATATCAATAACGTTGTAAAGATTATGTAGGGTGTCAGATGGTCACATGTCTTAACTGGGAGACCACTTCATGGATGGTGTAGAGGCTTGACCATTGCACTGTACACCTGAAGCTGAAGCTGAATAATGTATGTCAACTATAATTTAATATATATATATAGTCACAGGATATGGAGCACAGCATAGGGAATAGTCAATGGAATTGCAATGGATACCTAGTATTGTTTCAGTAGCAGTATTGCACCAAAAGGAAAAACACTACATTTTTTAAAATAAAAAATATTCAGCATGTGATAGAGCACTAACACGAAAGTGAAATCTGATCCCCACTGCCCATTCAGCTGTTCCCCCAAACAAGCATTCGACTGTCAGTTAGGCAAAAGCAGCATGTCCACTGAAGTTTCCAGATGTTGGATGTGATGACAAAAGAAGCATCAGTGTGAATACCAGTGTGTTCCTCTAATGTCCATTCCTGGTTGAATATTTTACAGCCTAGAGGACCTGCTTTCCTGCAGGTTTTTTCTAATATCCAGATGCTCTGGAAAACAAAACACCTAGTTTCCTCAGAAAAGAGCTGCTTATCTATACAGAAAACTGTGCAGATGGTACTAAGGTTTGTTTTCTCGGTTCCTGCAGGTTCTTCGCAGCAATAGCCTGCTTGAGTCTACAGACTACTGGCTGCAGAATCAGAGGACACCCTGCCAGATTGCTTTTCTGGAAGACAAGTGCGAAAACACAACTTGCGCGTCTGTAAGTAAACGCGACTCGGGGCGTGGCCTGAAAAAAGAGGGGATCACCCCTGTATGTGTCCTTGGACAGACGTTCCCCAATTCATTAAATAGCAGGCTGGGAACATCTCCTTTTGAAAATACACAACGGGTTTATAAGGACTGTTCATAAAATAATAGGCGGGTCTCGCATTTTTGTCTAATTTTGCTCATTTCAACAGGTTAATTAATCTGATCAGTTCTCTGAAAAGGAAAGCTGTGATTATGTTTCCAATACTGACTGAGAAAAAGATTCAGAAACAGAATTGTATGATAAGAAATAAAAAACCATGCAAGAGCTCTCTAGGATTCTTTTCCATGTATTTAATAACTCCTGCTAGTAGGTATTTCCCACCATGAAAATTGTGTGAAATTTTTCTACCATTTTTATTATAAGTTATAGTCATTGTTTGAAATCCTTTTCAACCTAATAAATACATAGGCATGCATTTTAAAACACTGGAGTTAAGCTTTACATACAAAACTTTCTTTCTCAAGGGAACAGATGCTCTTATACATAAGTATAATTTTTGTGGCTTAGAACGTGAGTACGTAGGGTTGATGTGAAATATGCTCTTTCCTATATGTTCGACAAAGTTGTATCTTTCATTTGAGTTGAAATCACCTAGCTCTTATGAGCTCGTGGTTACCGAGTTTGAGGGAGAATATTTCCAAAAAGGAGTGAAATGTAATTCTCATGACTAAACTGAGAGCACTGCCTAGGAGCTATTCCTGGAAGTAAGTTGCATGCTAGCATTTCTGTTCAAAGCAAAAAAAAAGAAAGAAAGAAAGAAAGAAAGAAAAGAAAGGAGAAAGAAGCAGCAGCAGCTAAAATGGGATGGAGAAGCTTTTTATATATAATGAGCAGAACCAGCAGAACTGGCAGACAGACAGGGATGCAGAACACTTCACACTGCTGAGCCTTAGAGCACAAGGAAAACTGAATCCATTCAACAGACTTCATTTAATCTCTTTGTTCAGGCAAATGATTTTGATTCTGCTACTTTTAGGACTTTTGATCACTTGTCCAGAAAACTTAGCTGATGACTAAAAATCTTTGGGGAAAACAAAAAGGATTAAGTGGCAAGTAATTTAAATAATAGCAGTTACTTCTTTGCAAATTCAATTCTGAGTTGGAAAATTTAGGCATTTCCTGATACAGATCTCTAATTATACAGCTATAAATTGTAAAAGGAGAGAAATGGAGAATAAAAGCTCTCAGCAGCTACACTTTGGTTAAAGTTGTCATCCAAGCAGCTCCTGTGTTAAGAAGTCTCCCATTTGAAAAAGGCACAAAAGTTGGGACACTAAGAATTGTACAGTGAAGGGCAAAGGGGTCTTCTCTAAACTTGATATTTTTGGAATCTGGATTGTAGATCTACTGCAAGAAATGCTAAATTTATAGCCAAATTTAAGATTACCGTTGGATCTTCCTGAGTGTAAGAGAACTCTCCTTCCATCCTCCACCAATCCGAAGGACTCAAATTTGGACTTAAAACTATCTGACCTCCTTTCTGAGTTCTTTGTTCCTCCACAGTGTCAGATGACCTCCGTGAGGTTGAGCTGATTCACCCTGTCTCTATGGCTCTTTCTCTTCTTTCTAAAAGGGGAAAAATCTAAACACAAAGAAAAGGCATCCTGGAAGATTTGTTTTCCCACAACAGTCTGTAATAATTGAAACCGACATAAATGTTAAACATTGTCCGTAACTCCAAACCTAAATTTCAGGATCCCTGTGAAAAACTAGCTCTAATCTTTCAAAAAGTATCCTGTAGTCACTACTTCTTAATTTACAAGTCCTTTCTCTCTTTCCAATTTGGCACAGATTCCTAGGCTGGGGAGAAGAGAGTCCAGAGTTGAACATTGCTGAGGGGCAGTTATTATCTAGAGGAGAAATAGAGGTGAGCTATAGAAACAGCTGACCAAGACAGAGAGTTCTTGATTAAAATAGCCACACAGAAGGAAAAGCCAAAATGGTCAGAGAAAAAGTCCTGAATTCCTTTGCAAAACAAATTCTCCACAGCAGCATAAAAATTAAAGTGTCATTTAAAGGGGGGGAGGGGGGGAAGGATGGTGTTTTAAAATAATATCATCATTAAAGTTTAATTTTTAAAAATTTAGCTTAATACAATCATCCCAAATCTAAATCTATTTACAAATAATCACAACAGAACCTGAGGAGCAACGTCCCATATTTTATTGCTTTGTACTCTGGGGGACTCTATTCTGTGTAATTCATGGATTCTTTAACTCAGTCCTTCCTGATCAAAATTAGTAGCCATCTTTTTCATACCCAGTTTTGATTGGCTTGGTATCCATGATACTGAACTTCAAGTTCCTGGATTTGCAGATTCTTAAAACCAAATACCTCAGTGTACCAATGTCCACTTAACAATGTTATTGAAGGACAAGTTCAGACTTGGAAAACCTTCTGTGGTGTGCATGGGTCAGTGGCTGTTTGTGCTCAAGTATCAAACCATGAGTTTTAGTCATGATTGATAGGGAACTGCACTCATTTCACAGCTAAAGTGAGGAATCTTAGTGAAGGGCAGTTTGAATCAGTCAGTGATATGATAGGTGCGCCAAACAGAAAGGGCTAGCCAGGAAGTCCAGCTCAGAAGATCCCTGAAAGTCACCCAAATATTTTTTTTTCACAAAGGTATCAAATATGGAAACCATGCTTACATTTTTTCCAATAGTATTCTCCTATCAAACTATATAATTTTATTTTCTTTCTGATTTGCCATTTTGGAAAAAAAAATCATATAATAGCCTTCAGGGTGTTTTTTTGTTTGTTTTAACCTGATTATTTAAATGAAGAGAAATGTGGAGGAGGATCATGGGAATAGAAACCAATCTCCCAACCCATCAGCTTAGACATTATGTTAATAGAAGTCCTTAACACGAGTGGTAGGAATTGGACTTTTCAGGACTCATGACATTTTTTAAATTAAAAACTAATTTAGTTACTTTTTAATCCTCTGTTGCTCTTTGCTATTTACTAGAATTTACTTTTTGATTTTTCAGGAACCATCTTTTGGTTTAATGCTTCACTGAAATTACTTTGACAATTCACATTATTTCTATTCATAGTTACTATCAGACTTTTTCCTTACTGATCTGTTAAGACATTTGGCTATGACCCTGCGAATAAATTCTACCCTCTAGCATGCATTTTTTTTTAAAGATTTTTATTGGGGAATTGGGGGGATGGGAACAGCGCTGGAGAATTGGGGGAAGGATAACAGACAAGTTGCTGTCTTTTTGTTCTTCAGTCTAGTTGTGGAGGACGTTGTTTCACTGGCCCAAGTTGGCACCATCATTGCGCTCTTGTTCAGCATCTTAGCTGTAGAGGGCAGTGTCACTGGCCCTCATATGTGGGATCCGAACCGGGGTCCTCTGGCATCCCAAAGCCAGTTCTTAACCATCACACCATTTGGCCGGCCCTCTAGCATGCATTTTAATTGATGAATCACAGTATCTGAAAATGTGTTGCATGTACCTTAAATTTATAAATATATCAACCAAGTTCTCAAGCAGGCTTCAACATTCCACACATGATACTGCAAAACTAAGGAGATATTTGACAGTTGTTCAGTGGATCTCTGATATGAATGCAACTCAGTGGCAACAGTGACAAAATGATATCCCAGATGACTGCTTTTTATTTTATATTATTTCTCCAAACATATGTATACCCAGCCTATTCTGAAATTAAAAGAAGTTGAGGAGACACAAACATCTCACTTGATAAGCTGGTCTAAGGAAGAATCTAGACTCACATGATCAAGGAAATGTATATGTCAGTTATAGACATCTGTATTTGTTATAGAACTGTGCAGGGACATTTTACATTACCTAGTCCACATATTTACCCCGTTTTCAAGCAACTATTAATGTGTTTTATTTCCTTCGAAAATCAAGTTTTGGACTTATTTCTCAATTCCTTAATGTTAGACTTACACAAAAAATTGCAAGAAGTGTGCAAAGGATGCCCAGATTCCCCAAACGCTAACATTTTACTACATTTGCTCTGTCCTTTCCTTTGTGTACGTATATGTGTCGACATGGAAATACACATTTATGATTTTTTTCCCCAAAACTTTTGAGAATGAGTTGCAGACATGATGCCTCTTTATCTTGACATACTTCAGTATGGAACATAAATATTTAAAACCAACGTTGAACCCAGAGCTGCAGAAAACCTTGTTTAGGCTACTAATTCAGTATGCACTGCATAGTGATATTCTATAAATATTTATTCAACAATTTCAAGAAGAAGCTAAATACTGCTTGCAGAAAAGTAAAAACTCAAACGCTGTTGGCAAAGAAGTCAGCCAGACTGAGCCACACAAAAGCCCTACATTTAAGTAGACCCACTCTTTCCTCAGGAGGCAGTTTAAGCAAGGAGGGGGTGACAGGGAGCTCTCAGCCCCCACCCCTAGTAGATTATTCCCACCAGCTTCATCCAGATTTGCTATTCAAGAGAGAAGTTCTGGCAAGTTCCATTTATTTCATCTTGATATATTTCTAAGGGCTTTAGTATCCCCGCCTTAGATCAGTCCAGAAGGGAGCTATTTTGGAAGCTTGCTTCTTAACTCAGCCCTAGGTAAAACAGACAAAATAAGGAAGCTTCTGGGTGTTGTAGAGTAGGAGGCTACAACCTGGTCTGTGTGTCCTCACCTCACCCTGGGCAGTAGCTCCTGAGGCACCTTGGGAAATCCAAGAGTCCCAGGGAAAACTATTAGACTCACAATCAAATCAAATGAAAGTTCCACTCAACCTTACCATACCTGTAGAATAAATTAGAAAGAGCACTTTACTGGGAAACATGACCCAGAGGGATGGTGGAGAAAAGAGTCTCACCAAAGCAAGTAGGTGGCTGTACATCCATGAAAGTCACATGTAAGACACAGACACCTAGAAAAGTGATAAATAAAACTGAGAAGGAGCTTTTAATGAATAACTTGAGGGCTAAATCTA